TGTAGCGTGTGTGTGTGTACTGTCTGTGAGTAGCGTGTGTGTGGGTACTGTCTGTGTGTAGCGTGTGTGTGGGTACTGTCTGTGAGTAGCGTGTGTGGGTACTGTCTGTGTGTAGCGTGTGTGTGGGTACTGTCTGTGTGTAGCGTGTGTGTGGGTACTGTCTGTGAGTAGCGTGTGTGTGTACTGTCTGTGTGTAGCGTGTGTGTGGGTACTGTCTGTGAGTAGCGTGTGTGTGTACTGTCTGTGTGTAGCGTGTGTGTGGGTACTGTCTGTGAGTAGCGTGTGTGGGTACTGTCTGTGTGTAGCGTGTGTGTGGGTACTGTCTGTGTGTAGCGTGTGTGTGTGTACTGACTGTGTGTAGCGTGTGTGGGTACTGTCTGTGAGTAGCGTGTGTGGGTACTGTCTGTGTGTAGCGTGTGTGTGGGTACTGTCTGTGTGTAGCGTGTGTGTGGGTACTGTCTGTGTGTAGCGTGTGTGTGTACTGTCTGTGTGTAGCGTGTGTGTGGGTACTGTCTGTGTGTAGCGTGTGTGGGTACTGTCTGTGTGTAGCGTGTGTGGGTACTGTCTGTGTGTCGCGTGTGTGTGGGTACTGTCTGTGTGTAGCGTGTGTGTGGGTACTGTCTGTGAGTAGCGTGTGTGTGGGTACTGTCTGTGAGTAGCGTGTGTGTGGGTACTGTCTGTGAGTAGCGTGTGTGTGTACTGTCTGTGAGTAGCGTGTGTGGGTACTGTCTGTGAGTAGCGTGTGTGTGGGTACTGTCTGTGTGTAGCGTGTGTGGGTACTGTCTGTGTGTAGCGTGTGTGGGTACTGTCTGTGAGTAGCGTGTGTGGGTACTGTCTGTGAGTAGCGTGTGTGTGGGTACTGTCTGTGAGTAGCGTGTGTGTGGGTACTGTCTGTGAGTAGCGTGTGTGGGTACTGTCTGTGTGTAGCGTGTGTGTGGGTACTGTCTGTGTGTAGCGTGTGTGGGTACTGTCTGTGTGTAGCGTGTGTGTGGGTACTGTCTGTGAGTAGCGTGTGTGTGGGTACTGTCTGTGAGTAGCGTGTGTGGGTACTGTCTGTGAGTAGCGTGTGTGGGTACTGTCTGTGAGTAGCGTGTGTGGGTACTGTCTGTGTGTAGCGTGTGTGGGTACTGTCTGTAAATGGCGTCTGCGGGTACTGACGTTCTGATACAGAACACCGTTCTGTTCTGATACAGAACGAGGTAGCCAGCCCTCGACCACAGACCACAGGCCTAAATTCCATGACACAGTGCCTTTAACAAACTACAGAGTCACATATAGAGTTGAAAACAATCACATACACGACTCAAAACTTCCTGTAGGAGGCGGTCGAGGGTTGGCATCGTGCTGTTCGTCCTCCGTCAGTAGCGCCCCGTCTCAGGGTCCCCACCAGAGTCAATAGTTCAGATATTAAAGCCCATTGCAGATGCAACGGTTGGATTATTACTACCATACTGCTACCATTCCTATAGTTAATTCACTAGTAAGAAAGCTTGCTAAACAATACTGGATTATCACACAGCATGAAAGGTTATTGATAACTGAAAGGTTCAGGCTTGTCATGTGAAGCTTATGATGGGGGTAATAGAGCACAGCTCAAGAACATTGTCATGCTCAGCAAGTATACGCCGCATGAGGACGTGTGCGTAGTATTGAGCGTTAGTTAGAAAAGGTGGCAGTACGCTCGGAATAGTGGTTTACGGAGCATAATACAATATATATGATGATTAGAGCGCCGGAGACAGCATAGAGCTGGAGAGAACTCTTCACAGCATACAAGAGATAGATATTATGTTTAGCATGGTGTGAGAAGCGTCACGTCAGCTGGGGGCAGTGTCAAGGGAAGGGGACACCGTCGGTGGTGGAGGGGACGAGGACACCGTCGGTGGTGGAGGGGACGAGGACACCGTCGGTGGTGGAGGGGACGAGGACACCGTCGGTGGTGGAGGGGACGAGGACACCGTCGGTGGTGGAGGGGACGAGGACACCGTCGGTGGAGGAGGGGACGAGGACACCGTCGGTGAAAGGGACGAGGACACCGTCGGTGAAAGGGACGAGGACACCGTCGGTGAAAGGGACGAGGACACCGTCGGTGGTGGAGGGGAAGGGACAGGTGGTCCAGATAAAAGCCAGATATTAGACTTGGTCTTGTTTAGTGAGTTATCTACTGTATAATAATTGCGATAAGGTGAGAGAGCGTGAGTCAGGGAACGCTCACCCACCATGGCAATGGAAGTCTCATCTTACTTGGGGTCGTAGTAGTGGGAGGTTACAGCAGTGGGAGGTTACAGTAAAGGAGGGTTACAGTAATGGAGAGTTACAGTAATGGAGGGTTACAGTAGCAGGGGGGGGGGGAAGGGGCAAGGGTCGGGAGGCAACAAGAGCAGCAGCTCCGGACTTCGCCACACAATACCTGAGATACAGAAGGGGATGTGATCGCGAACTTCGCATCTCTCGGATGTCTCACAGGGGTTCCTCACTTTGCAGGGTGAGAAACATTCCTTGTTGTAGCAGGCGTACTCGCTCGGACAGTCGGTGTTGCTGCGACACCCGACTGTAGGAGGCGCGGCAGGCCAGGGAGACCCCGCATCAACACCAGGAGAAGGAGAAGGAGAAGGAGGAGGCCCACAGTTAGCCAGGCACCAGATTTTGACTTTTAAGAAGTTGTGGGGGTTGGTAAGAGTGTGAGGGCTCTTGGGTGGTGGTGTGGGGGTTGGTAAGAGTGTGAGGGCTCTTGGCTGGTGGTGTGGGGGTTGGTAAGAGTGTGAGGGCTCTTGGCTGGTGGTGTGGAACCCTCAGGGGTGTAAACACCCTCCTGAAGGAGACCTGGGGGGGGGGGCTTCATCTGACGGGGGAAGGGTGGGGGGGAGGTTTTATGGAAGGGAGGGCCGTGTACCCACAAGATATCACGGAGCTAGAAGACGTTGAGTGAACGTCATAAGATCTACCAAGAGGGTGAGGAAGGGAGGAATACCACATCGCCAAGATGATACACAATCTGGACGAGCTTGTCACATGGTGATCAGGATGGGAGGACAAGCTTGGCTACAACCTTGTCCTATCATTACGGAGGGAAATTAAGGACAAGAGAAAACTGAAAAATGGCTCAGAAAAGATCCATTAAAGTAAAAACAGTTGTGCACAGTGAAGAAAGAGACTAAAAAAAGAATGATGATAATTCTAGAATTCCTTTCACACCACCTTCATAAGATATTTACATTGAGAAAGTGTGATAATGCGTGTGCCCCCCCCCCCAACACTAGAGGCGTGAGGCACTAGTGCTACATGTGCAGAGTGAGGAGAAGTGTTGGCACCACCACCAGGCACTTACCAGTGAGACAGGTGGCCCTCTGGTTCTCCACCTTACAGTCCTCCTTGGCGGTGCACGGGTTGCGGGCCACGCACGGGTTGAGACACTTCTCGTTGATACACGCCTGATTTGCCGGGCACTGAGAGCTGTCCCGGCACCCGATGGCTGCTCGTCCACATCACCAGAGGTCACCACACATCACCAGAGGTCACCACACATCACGGATCACCACACATCACCAGAGGTAACATCACCATGGGGTTGCGATAAGATGCGTCAGGGTTCGACAGGTTCCAAGTCGAACGGAGAGTTGAATAAAGAAAGAAATGTTTTATGATTGTACTGTGTGAATGGCTGGAGGCAGTGGGAAGGTGCCAGTGGCGCCAGAGGCCGTGCTCAAGGGCATTAGTAGCGGCTTGCAAATGGATCTGGTTGTAAATGCTAATCAACTAATCAACAACCAGATGAACTAACGCTCCGCTGCATTAGCTGATCTGGTTGTAAATGGACTGTAATACTCTTATCACTCAAATCATCATCATCTGACCTCCAGCTGACGATGCCTCCGCCACTAACACTTGGCCCAAAGCCTCCAAGCTTGATGCTGAGTGTCAGATGATACTCGGAGAGTCTCTCTCCTCCGATCTCATCCGACACCCGACATTATATTTCAGAATATATTCCACACCTCACTAACATCAGGGGGAAGTTTGTGTTTCATGTTCCTTATACTTATTGAGTTCTTCTTCGGTGTTTGACAGTTGTTGTGTGTTGAGGAGGGAGTAGGGGGGAAGGAGCTCAGGGCTCAGAGCTCAGAGCTCAGTGTCGTGCCGCTGTGCTGGCAGTGGTGTGTGGGACGGGGAGGGACGGGGGGGGGGAGGATGGACAGGTGTGCCGTCACATGTACACATGTGTATGAATGTTGCTGCTGCTGTAGGCGTAGGTGACACAGGTTCGTCCTCACCTACAACACTGGTGACCAATATGCAGCTATTGTAGGTGAAGAGGCAAGGCTTCACCTGCACCAACGGTGAACAATCAGCATTCAACAATCAATACAAGTGTGCAAGGTGGACTTTACCCGAGCTACAAGCACCTAAATTATATAAAAATTTTTACCCATCTCTATCTGTACCATGTGAAACTAATCCCTTAATCCCTGGAATCCAAACACCATACTATTTACCCAGTGTAATCCAAGTCTGCGGAGACATAATCCCTCTATATCAAAGGCTATGTTCCTCTGTACTGCTCTTAACGAGGCTATAGTTAAACTAAATCACCTCGTTACCACTGATCCAAAGCCAGTTTTGTAAATAATCCCATGGAATACCTTGTAAACCAATGTAATCCTTTGTATTCCAATGTAATCATTTGTAAACCAATGTAATCCCTTGCAAATCAATGTTATAACTTATAAACCAATGTTAACCCTTGTAAACCAATGTTAACCCTTGTAAACCAATGTTATCCACTGCAAACCAATGTCATCCCTTGTTAACCAATGTTATCCATTGTTAACCAATGTTATCCATTGTTAACCAATGTAATCCTTTGTAATGAAATTCCTTGTTAACCTTGGTAATTTCCTATAAGATTCTATTACCCTTAAAATACTCCTCCGAGACACCAGTTACGTCTTGCCAGGTGTGTGGGGGGTGAGAGGGGGGGGAGGGGTGTTGTCTGGGGGGTGTTATGGGGACATGACAAACACAATTTCTCCCTGTAAACACAAACAACATATTATTAACAAGGACAAACTCAGGCATACACAAACACAGCATGCATGGGGGGGGGGGGGCAGCCCCCTGTACCAAGCACCACATCACTTAGGGCTGTCAGGTACAACCACTGAGGTAAAGCAGAAGTTATTCACCGAGTTAAACCAAAAGTTAACCACAGGGGTGACCCAGTAGTCAACCACTGGGGTAAACCAGTAGTCAACCACTGGGGTAAACCAGTAGTCAACCACTGGGGTAAACCAGTAGTCAACCACTGGGGTGACCCCAGTAGTCAACCACTGGGGTGACCCCAGTAGTCAACCACAGGGGTAACCCCAGTAGTCAACCACTGGGGTAACCCCAGTAGTCAACCACAGGGGTAACCCAGTAGTCAACCACTGGGGTGACCCCAGTAGTCAACCACTGGGGTGACCCCAGTAGTCAACCACTGGGGTGACCCCAGTAGTCAACCACTGGGGTAAACCAGTAGTCAACCACTGGGGTAAACCAGTAGTCAACCACTGGGGTAAACCAGTAGTCAACCACTGGGGTAAACCAGTAGTCAACCACTGGGGTAAACCAGTAGTCAACCACTGGGGTAAACCACGTCAACCGCCAATAGACTAAATCATGGAGGTAAACCACTGAAGTTACTGTGGTTCCCGCAGGTATCACTAAGGTAAACTGTGCATCACTTTCATTTCTGGTTTACCCTGTGTGTGGATCCGCGCCTCTAGTAGGTTAGTTACGTCAAAACAAACAAGCAATCATGCAAGCAAAGCAAACACAAACACGCGTCAGTAGGCTACATAAGTACAGATAAGAGGTTAGACAAACTAACAAACATAGACAAAACAAATACAATTCGTTTCTTCAAAAGCATTTTTCTTGTTTTTTTTTTTTTGCGCGCGTTTGCTGAAGTATCGTGCATTCTTGGCGGGTGTTAATGGAAGCAGGAACCGGGCCTGTGAGCCAGGGGGGTTACGGAAGCAGCAGCAGCATTTACATATTCCTTAAGTGAATGGTTAGGTGGAGCAGCGTCGCCAGATTCGTCAGAGCCCAAGGAAAAAAAAAACGGGTTAAAGAAAATGGTTTGAAGGCACCGTCGTATTGAAGCACAGACTTAAACATTTTGACAGACTGACAGACACGGAAGGCGGACAGGACGACACAAGTTGGCACCATATAATACACACACACACGCATACACACATAAGACGAAACAGCAATGGTAGTTTTGTGTTTAGAGTGGGGTTCCGTAGGGTAGTTACGCCGTTACTGGTGGAGGACCTGAGGGAGGGAGAGAGGGGGTAGGGGGGGGAAGGGATAGACAAGGCAGCCTCACGCAGGAGGGTGCTGACCCTGGCGGACCCCAACATGCTTGGGTGCTGAGGGCAAGCCAGAGCGTGTGAGGGGCTGGTGAAGTCCTCTTCAGGGGGCTCGGGCTTACACAAGCTCCAGGCATCTCGGGTCCGCCAGCGTCTGGCCCAGAAACCATCTTAAACCCATACAGCTAACAGAGTTCCGAAAGCTCCAGGAAGTGGGGGGCAAAGGCGCTCAATTCTCAACAAGCACTTAAGACCTGTCATGTACAGTCCCCTGCGTGTCACCACACAGGACATAGGGGCTCTCAGGCTCCTTATGTGCTTGCTAAGAATTAGGATGGAGAAGGCCAGCCGGCCAACCAAGCAAGTCTGGAAGCTTAAGACATACAATGGGAGGATTTGGGGCACATTATATTACCTTGGGGACACCGGGAGCCTAGGACAGACCCCGTGGGACACTGGCATGCTAGTCTATTATTGATCACTTGACACACAAACCCACTACCACACGGGCTCGACTCCTTGCACGGGTCAATACACCGTTTACTCTGACAAACCAAGTTCCTGGGGCACTCAACACTGCTCGTGCACGTCTTGGGTACTCGAGAGAGGGTTTTGGGTACTGACGGTGTGGGGGTGGTAACTGGGAAAATAAATTTACTCGTATCTGGTGATGTTCGGGTGATGGGTCGTGTAGGAGTGACTGGTCGTGTTGGAGTGACTGGTTGTGGTGGAGTGACTGGTAATGTTGGTGAGGGCAGTGTTGTCGGTCTGGGAGTGTAGCGGATTGGAGGCCTCTTTGCAGGAGGTTGGGTTACTGTTGAGGCCTCTGGAGGTGAAGTTGAGATTCCAGGTGAGTCTATGGTGATGGGGGGAGGCCGTGGTAAGTGTGTGGTGGACTGCGGCCTTGGTGTGATGTGAGGGCGAGTGGTTGGTAGTGGGGTAGTAGCGAGAGTGTCAGTAGCTGGCGACGTTGGCAGAAATGTTGTGAAGACGGGTCGTCTTGGCGTCGTGGAAGGCCTTGGTCTGGGTCGTCTAGTGGGGGTCACTGGACGATCCAGAGGGATTACAGGTGTTTCTGAAGAAGGGGATGGTGTTGTGGCTATTGCCAATGTAACTGGGGTTTCTGGTGTTGTTAAGGGTCTTTTGATGACAATAACTGGCTGTTTACTAGTCGGGGGACTGATGGATGGCCTTCTGGATGATGAGTGAGGCGCTGGGGTTGTGAGGAGGCTGTGAGATGTTTTAGTGATGGTTGTGAAGAGTGGGGTTGTGGCTGGGGTCGAGTGACTACTGCTATGGGGTTGTGGGGTGAAGAAACCCATCGTCTCTGTTGGAACTTTCGGTTTAACACTTGTGTTCAGGTGCTGGGAGGGTGTGGTAGAGGGTTTGGTTGTGTCAGCACAATCTATTATGATGTGGCCATGAGCGCCTGTCGAGAGAGAACAGTGGCGTGTCCCACAGGCGTCCAGGCAGGGGTTTGAGCAGTGCCCCTGGAGACACGTATGTTTGGACGTGTCGCAGTCAGCATCACTGCGACACGGCTTGGGCGTGGACCTGCTGGTGGTGGTGGTGGTGGAGGGGGTGGAGGGGGTAGAAGTATCGATGTCTGTGGACACATGCAAAATATGGAATGTGAATATAAAAGTTAACATGAAGGGGTCACTTATGTTGCATGTTTTCAGGCTGTGACAACAGTAAACAGTGAAGAGCTAAGGTCACCAAGTCTGTCCTGGTCTCAACTCTGGGAGTACTTAACTTAGTCTTTGTGGGTACTTTGTATCTTTCCTCAGTGATCATTATGCAACAGGAAGCAATGAATCCAATTTGAGATGTGAGTAAATGAGTTGACTTGCAAATGAACATTTGCTTGATTAATTAAAACTGAATATTAGCAAACAAGTTTGTAGAACGTGAATGTATCATTAGTCTACTCCGGAGACCTTCGGCAGCAACAGTTCCCACTAAGCTGGACCCATCACTTGCTCACTGACGTCACCAATATCACCTGATTGGCCAAGAGATGACCAATGAGAGGGCGAGTGTGTCGTCAGTGAGCAGGTAAGCGCTGGTCCAGGAGAGGCAAGAACCGTCCGGCCGAAGGTACCACTTCGGAGGTTAGTCGAAGTGGCTGTCTACCACAGGACTAAGAGCCACTAGTGTCCGCCACCACTCAGTCGGGTTAATAGACAAGTAGCAGCAGCGAGGGCCGCCGGCGTCGGGGTTTACCTTTCACGCAGCCAAAGTCGGGATCAACAGTAAAGCCAGGTGGGCAGAATTTACAGAGAGGCTTGTGATCCTCGACGTAGCATGGCGTGTCCCCTGGGCAGCCGTGCGAGGCGCAGGGGTCCACGCACTGATAGGAGACGCACGCCTGCGTGGGCGCGCACCCCTCGTCCCTGAGGCAGATGGTGATGGAGGGCGTGCAGTCCTTGACGCAGATGCAGACGGGGCGGTGGTTGAGAACATCGCACTGCTTGTTGGGCGGGCACGGGCGGCCCACGGCACACGGGTTGGTGCAGCGGTTGGTGACACAGGCCAGGTTGCTGGCGCAGTCGTCGTCCTCGTGGCAGTCAATGGGTCCTGTAGCACACACAAACTCCCCCACTGAGTTCACAACAAAGCCGTGCTTGCACAGACACGTAACTTTGTGCTTCCTGACTTCACACACTTTATTAGCTTGGCACTGAGAGGGTCCGCGGGCGCAGGGGTCATAGCAGGTGCGCAGGGCAGCGTCGCACGCCAGACGCTCGCCGCAGTCACCGTCCTGCCTACACCCGCTCACCAGGGGCGGCTCCAAGGGCGGTGCGGGCGTGCCGCAGGCAGGGTCCGGACGGCATGCCACCTGCGGCCGACCCACATAACACTGCGGGCAGGAGCACACGGCCGCATGCGCCACGGTGCGGCAGAGAGCGCGCTCCCCGCACGCGCCTCTTAGCGTGCATGGGTCCTTACACTTTCCAGTGATACATGCGTGAGCCGGCGGGCAGTCTGTGTCTAGCGTACACTGAGTATCTAGTGTGAGAGAGAAGCCGCTGTCAGCATGCAACCTGTGGCTGGCCGCCTGCCTCCATGTGTCCCAGCCACACTACATCCATGTGTTCCCAGCCACACTACATCCATGTGTTCCCAGCCACACTACATCCATGTGTCCCAGCCACACTACATCCATGTGTTCCCAGCCACACTACATCCATGTGTTCCCAGCCACACTACATCCATGTGTCCCCAGCCACACTACATCCATGTGTCCCCAGCCACACTACATCCATGTGTCCCCAGCCACACTACATCCATGTGTCCCCAGCCACACTACGTCCATGTGTTCCCAGCCACACTACATCCATGTGTCCCCAGCCACACACCATCCATGTGTTCCCAGCCACACACCATCCATGTGTTCCCAGCCACACTACATCCATGTGTCCCCAGCCACACTACACCCATGTGTCCCAGCCACACTACATCCATGTGTCCCAGCCACACTACATCCATGTGTCCCCAGCCACACTACACCCATGTGTCACCAGCCACACTACACCCATGTGTCCCCAGCCACACTACATCCATGTGTCCCAGCCACACTACAGCCATGTGTCCCAGCCACACTACAGCCATGTGTCTCCAGCCACACTACACCCATGTGTCCCAGCCACACTACAGCCATGTGTCCCAGCCACACTACAGCCATGTGTCCCAGCCACACTACATCCATGTGTCCCCAGCCACACTACACCCATGTGTCACCAGCCACACTACATCCATGTGTCCCAGCCACACTACAGCCATGTGTCCCCAGCCACACTACAGCCATGTGTCCCCAGCCACACTACAGCCATGTGTCCCAGCCACACTACATCCATGTGTTCCAGCCACACTACAGCCATGTGTCCCAGCCACACTACAGCCATGTGTCCCCAGCCACACTACATCCATGTGTCCCCAGCCACACTACATCCATGTGTCCCCAGCCACACAACCATGTACACCCACCAACCACACAACCATGTACACCCACCACACACACACACCCATGTACACCCACCACACACACACACCCATGTACACCCACCACACACACACCCATGTACACCCACCACACACACACACAACCATGTACACCCTCCACACACACACCCATGTACACCCACCACACACACACACAACCATGTACACCCACCACACACACACCCATGTACACCCACCACACACACACACAACCATGTACACCCACCACACACACACCCATGTACACCCACCACACACACACACAACCATGTACACCCTCCACACACACACCCATGTACACCCTCCACACACACACAACCATGTACACCCACCACACAACCATGTACACCCACCATACACACACACAACCATGTACACCCACCACACACACACACAACCATGTACACCCACCACACACACACAACCATGTACACCCACCACACACACACCCATGTACACCCACCACACACACACACAACCATGTACACCCACCACACACACACACCCATGTACACCCACCACACACACACACAACCATGTACACCCACCACACACACAACCATGTACACCCACCACACACACACACCCATGTACACCCACACACACACACAACCATGTACACCCACCACACACACACACACCCATGTACACCCACCACACACACACACCCATGTACACCCACCACACACACACAACCATGTACACCCACCACACACACACAACCATGTACACCCACCACACACACACACCCATGTACACCCACCACACACACACATGTACCATGTACACCCACCACACACACACAACCATGTACACCCACCACACACACACAACCATGTACACCCACCACACACACACACCCATGTACACCCACCACACACACACAACCATGTACACCCACCACACACACACACCCATGTACACCCACCACACACACACACAACCATGTACACCCACCACACACACACACAACCATGTACACCCACCACACACACACACCCATGTACACCCACCACACACACACAACCATGTACACCCACCACACACACACAACCATGTACACCCACCACACACACACAACCATGTACACCCACCACACACACACAACCATGTACACACCACCACACACAACCATGTACACCACACCACACACACACAACCATGTACACCCACCACACACACACAACCATGTACACCCACACACACACAACCATGTACACCCACCACACACACACACAACCATGTACACTAACCACACACACACAACCATGTACACCCACCACACACACACACAACCATGTACACCCACCACACACACAACCATGTACACCCACCACACACACACAACCATGTACACCCACCACACACACACAACCATGTACACCCACCACACACACACACACCCATGTACACTAACCACACACAACCATGTGCACCCACCAGACACACACACAACCATGTACACCCACCACACAACCATGTACACCCACACATGCAGATGAGACACACACAGACGCACACGACCAGAACCACAATCGAAAGTTATAGGAAAAGGCAAGTGAGTTGTATGTTATTAAGTTATTTGGTTACGTTACTTAACCCTAGTGTCACTACACCCGGGAGTGACACCACGTTAGAGGCCATTATCCTATCAAATATGCGCAAGCTCACACACACCCACACACCTACACACATACATACACCCACACCTGCGCCTAGTGAGTGTATATGGGACAGGCACACACGTGGAGACAGCGGCCAGGTGTCCAGTGTAGAGTTGGTTAGGTTAGCTGGGGGAGGGAGGGGGGGGGAGGGGGAGACACAAGCGAGGGCTGTCACCTATAGTGACACTAACACAGAGTAACACACAGGAGATACACTCCCACATAGACAGGGAGACAGGATGACACTAAGACACAGGGTAACACATAGGACAACAGACTAGGACACTACATAACAGATCAGGACCTGGACAGGGTAACAGGGTAACAGACTAGGACACAGGGTAACAGACTAGGACACAGGGTAACAGACTAGGATACAGGGTAACAGATTAGGACACAGGTTAACAGATTAGGACACAGGGTAACAGATTAGGACACAGACAGGGACACAGGGGGAAACAGTCTAGGACAACAGACTCGAACACAGGGTAACAGATTAGGACACAGACAGGGACACAGGGGGATACAGACTAGGACAACAGACTCGAACACAGGGTAACAGATTAGGACACAGATTATGACAGATTAATACAGAAATAGGATTAGGGTAATATAATGGGGCAGAGTAACAGATTAGCACACCAAATACATTACATGTTAGCGGAGTGTCTCAAAAGTGGGACACAGGGGTAGGAGACAGATTAGGGCACAGATCAGAACATATTAGGACACATTATAATATGTTAAGACATAGATTGGGAGACATAGTTTAGCACTGAGACTGAGGAATAGGGCACCAGATTAGGACAGACTGGGAAGCAGAATTCTACACGAAATAGGACATAAGGTGAGAAAAAAGGCACAGAATAGCAGGCTAGGACACTATATTAGGACAACGCTTGCCAGATAGGGCAGAGTATAGGATGATGTGATATTGGAACACACACATTAGAATTTAATGTAATATTTCAATAGATCAGAATATAATGGGGTATGACAGATTAAGATATGAGGAGATATGACAGGTTAAGATATGAGGTGATATCATGACAGATTAAGATATGAGGTGATATTATGACAGATTAAGATATGAGGTGATATTATGACACAGATTAGGTGATATGACATTAGGATAAGTGATGATATTATGACATCAAAATATGAGGTGATAACATGCCATTAGAACATGAGGTGGCGGTATGACATGTTAGGATAACCGAAAAGAGTGAACACTTAAAATAGATAACCGAACGAGGTAGTTCCGAGAGAAGAGTGGGCAGTTAAGACAACTGATACCATTGTAAAAAGCTGCTATTGGTTAAATGAATTAATAGATAGATGGTTAAGATAAGAGAGTTAATTTAGGAACAGTTGTTAAGCTAGGAAGATATTAACACGTATTTAAAACGTGCACTAAGGGAGATATTATTGAGTGAAATCAAAGGGCTCGTTAACACAAGCATTTGGACAGTTATACGGTTATCTGGGCACCTGTTAAAGCGGGTGTTGAAGGTTGTTAACTGGTAGTAGTAGTGGGCGAGTACAAACAACAGTTAGATAACAGAGTAGAGACCGTGAGGGACCACCAGAGACTCAGGCGCCGCCCCTAGGAGTGCGCCGCCCCTGGGAGCTGGGTGTTCGGTCACTTGCTACTTAATGACAACGGAATAAGTCAATTCAGATATATACAAAGACTTGTTAGTGGATACAAACGTACACTAGACTGTTAAAATCAGTTGTTCGGATTGGTGGAAGTAGATAAGTCCGAACAACGGACAGTTAGAACAGGTGTTCGGAGACGTGCAGGTGAACGGAGGGTAACCGTCCAAAGGACAGAGTAGCGGCCGGGGGGACAGTTATGTCTTGGACTGGTTATATGAGTGGTCGACTGCCCTCCGGTGCAACCATCAAAGCAAGACTCGCATGCCTTCGCGCCTTGGAGAGCCCAGCAGTGTGAAATCAGGGAGCACGAAGGTATAGAAAAAAATGGGAAACTGAAGGAAAAATGGCGTGTACGGCAAATAGAACATGGGGAGCGACATAATAGAACATGGGAGTTGGGAGGAACACAATAGAGCATATAGAGAATGGAAGAAAATATATAGAATATATCGCTATACATCACGGGAGGCCGAGAGGAACTTAAACACAGAGAAATAAATAATAAGGGAAACTTTTACACATTCAGCAAATCACGAAAAAAAATGTTCATGTGTCCCTAGACCAGTCACAGAGCCCCTAGACCAGTCACAGAGCCCCTAGACCAGTCACAGAGCCCCTAGACCAGTCACAGAGCCCCTAGACCAGTCACAGAGCCGCTAGACCAGTCACAGAGCCCCTAGACCAGTCACAGAGCCCCTAGACCAGTCGCAGAGCCCCTAGACCAGTCACAGAGCCCCTAGACCAGTCGCAGAGCCCCTAGACCAGTCACAGAGCCCCTAGACCAGTCACAGAGCCCCTAGACCAGTCGCAGAGCCCCTAGACCAGTCACAGAGCCCCTAGACCAGTCACAGAGCCCCTAGACCAGTCGCAGAGCCCCTAGACCAGTCACAGAGCCCCTAGACCAGTCGCAGAGCCCCTAGACCAGTCGCAGAGTCCCTAGACCAGTCACAGAGTCCCTAGACCAGTCACAGAGCCCCTAGATCAATCACAGAGCCCCTAGACCAGTCACAGAGCCCCTAGACCAGTCGCAGAGCCCCTAGACCAGTCACAGAGTCCCTAGACCAGTCACAGAGCCCCTAGACCAATCACAGAGCCCCTAGATCAATTACAGAGCCCCTAGACCAATCACAGAGCCCCTAGACCAGTCACAGAGCCCCTAGACCAGTCCCAGAGCCCCTAGACCAGTCACAGAGCCTCTAGATCAGTCACAGAGCCCCCTAGATCAGTCACAGAGCCCCTAGATCAGTCACAGAGCCCCTAGATCAGTCACAGAGCCCCTAGACCAGTCACAGAGCCCCTAGACCAGTCACAGAGCCCCTAGACTAGTCACAGAGCCCCTAGACCAGTCACGGAGCCCCTAGACCAGTCACGGAGCCCCTAGACCAGTCACAGAGCCCCTAGACCAGTCACAGAGCCCCTAGACCAGTCACAGAACCCCTAGAACAGTCACAGAACCCCTAGACCAATCACAGAGCCCCTAGACTAGTCACAGAGCCCCTTGACCAGTCACAGAGCCCCTTGACCAGTCACAGAGCCCCTTGACCAGTCACAGAGCCCCTAGACTAGTCACAGAGCCCCTTGACCAGTCACAGAGCCCCTTGACCAGTCGCAGAGCCCCTTGACCAGTCACAGAGCCCCTAGACCAATCACAGAGTCCTTGGGCCGGTCATTCAGTCAATAGACCTGTCACAACCAGTAACAAATTACAGAGTCCGTAGACCAGTCAAAAGCTACGTGAACCAGTCACAGAGCCCACAAACCATTAACCGAACTTGTAGACCTGTCAGAGAGCCCATAGACCGGTCACAGTGCCATCAGACCAGTCACAGATCCTCTAGACGAGTTACAGGGCCCGGAGATTAGTCTTAAACCCCGTAAAATAGTCACAGAGCCGCATAAACCAGTCACAGAGCAGCATAGACCAGTCACAGAGCCGCATAGACCAGTCACAGAGCAGCATAGACCAGTCACAGGACCCGTAGACTAGTCACAGGGCCCACAGACCAATCACAGAGCCGCATAGACCAGTCACAGGACCCGTAGACTAGTCACAGAGCAGCATAGACCAGTCACAGGGCCCACAGACCAGTCACAGGGCCCACAGACCAGTCACAGGGCCCACAGACCAGTCACAAGGCCATGAACTAGTCAAACAGCCTGTGGACAGTCACAGAGTATGTTGGGGCGTGCATGTGGGCAACATGCGCCACCAGTTTGCATGTAGTGAACAACATGTCACTACATAAAGGAAGGAAATCGAGAAAAAAAAGATTGAATACATTTTATCAATTGAATACGAAAATGCTATACTTTAACAGTTATCAAACTACATTTGATTTTAAAAAGCATCGAAGTATATTTTTGGGTACCGGGCATCACATGGGATACCGGGCATCACATGGGGTACCGGGCATCACATGGGGTACCGAGCATCACACGGGTACCGGGCATCACATGGGGTACCGGGCATCACATGGGGTACCGGGCATCACACAGGTACCGGGCATCACACGGGTACCGGGCATCACATGGGGTACCGGGTATCACATGGGGTACCGGGCATCACATGGGATACCGGGCATCACACGGGTACCGGGCATCACATGGGGTACCGGGCATCACATGGGGTACCGGGCATCACACGGGTACTGGGCATCACATGGGGTACCGGGCATCACATGGGGTACCGGGCATCACATGGGGTACTGGGCATCACACGGGTACCGGGCATCACATGGGGTACCGGGCATCACACGGGTACCGGGCATCACATGGGGTACCGGGCATCACATGGGGTACCGGGCATCACACGCGTACCGGGCATCACATGAACAAGTTTATAAGGTTCATCTTGGCACTGATGACTATGAAAATATTAAAGAAGAAACCCATACTTCGAAGCCTTTACATGTTCACAAAAAATACTTTCCTATATTTCTATATTTTTATATTTTTATATTTTAATATTTTTATATTTTTTGTTTATAAAATCCCATTGAGAATGCTGGACTAATTGACTCGTGTCATAGTGGCCACTCCCCCCGACACCTATAAGAGGGTGTGGCGGGCGCTGCCTCCTCCACACACACACACACGCCTCATCTGACGACGCCTGAGGCATACACAGTGCCTCTTAAGATCTTTATGAGTAGTGACAGTTCTGCAAGTTCTGATGAAACACACGAAAAAGAGTGAAAACGTGAAATTAAATGAAACTTTTGGGAAGACAGAACCGCTGATACAGGAAGAAACACAATTTTGGTTGTCTAGGAAGAAGGTTCATGGTGTTTAGGAAGGCAGTGGCCGCTACGAGGCCGAGCAACTGAGGTCTACCCACCAACCCTCAACAGTCTACGGTGCGGCAGGAGGAATGGACTGAGAGTAGAGAATGAGACGGCACTAACCTGGCACACACTCCACGTAAGGGTCACCTGTCCAGCTGGCGTCTCGGCACCTGCATTCGTAGCTGCCGACGGCGTCCGGCAGGCAGGAGGCGGCCAAGCCACAGCCGGTCTGGCGACAGTCTCCTGTACCTGTCGTTAACACCAATGGATGTCATTATAGGTAACACTTAAAGTGCCAATACATACCAAAGTTTAATGCCATTACTTGCTGAGTAAATTTACTTAATGGACCACTTACAACTCTTACTGAAGCTGACAACTTGGAGCACCTACCAGACCAAGCTATTAGTGGCAGGCTCACACCAGCTTGAATTTAAAAAAAAATACATTGAACTATTTTGGAAAGACATAGAAAATGGTACTCAAGTCTAAATTATAAAGGGAGGAACTCTTACATTTAACGAGCGGGTCACCATTAGGAAGATGTTCTGGGCAGAAGCACTCGGCCTTCGAAGCGTCCACATCTCGGCACCTGGCATTTTGACCACAAGAGATTCTCTTGCAGGGGTCAACTTGGTCTTGAGGGCAAATGCAGCCGGCATGGTAGGCGTCGCCATGACAACCAGTGTTGCAACTACAGATGAAACTACCTACAGTATTGATACACTGAGAATTGTCGGCACAGGGGCTGGTGAGGCATTCGTTGACCTCCATCTTACACTCCACCTGCGGGTTGCCGTAGTGGCTGGAAGGACACGAGCACTCCGCCTTGCGGTTCATCACATTACAGCGGGCATTAGTGCCACAGGTTCCCTCTAAACAAGGGTTCGTGCACTCACGGTTGATGCAGGTTTGTTCCCGACTACAGTCAGTATCACTCAGGCACTCGTACTTTTCACACCCCTCCTTGGGGTTGCCATGGTAGCCACTGAGGCAGAAGCAGAGTGGGCGGTGGTCAGAGACACGGCAGCGAGTGTTGGTGCCACAGGCATTATCCTTGCACGGGTCGTCACACTTGCCATTGAAGCAACCGTGGGTGAGCGGGCAGTCAGTGTTTGTGCGACAACCGACCACACAGACACCAGCACGGCATAAGAAGCCCTGGGAGCAGTCTCTCTCTTCGCTACACTCGGCGTGACAGTATCCCTCACTGCAGGTTTCACCACAATTGCACTGCTTAGAGGAGCTGCAAGACTTGGAACAGAAGCCCCCTCTGCAAGATGCCTGGGTGTCACATTCACTGTCTGCGGTACACTGGCGGGTGGGTGTCGTACAGGCGATGAGGGGGTTGCCGATGGCATTGGCGGAGCAGCTGCACTGTGCCTGGTGGTTCACTACCTGACACTCTGCACATGTCCCGCAAACTGCTCCTTCTTCACAGGGGTTCCGACACTTCCTATTTATGCACGACTCTTTGGTCGGACAAGTGGAATCTGAGCGGCAACCAACAATACACAAGCGTCCTTCACAGATGTTGCCCACACCGCACTGGGTATCAGAGTTACAAATCTCCTTACACACACCACCAACGCAGCGTTCATTGTTGAAGCAGGCTTGATCACTTTTACAAAGTGGACGACAGGTTCCCGAGAAACAAGTCATATCCTTCGGGCAGTTGGTATCGTCAGTGCAGGGGGTTGGTGGGAGGCGACAGTTGACGAATGGGTCCCCAACGAGGTTGTCTGGACAGGTACACCCGACCCGATGACCATCTACAGCACACCGGGCATTACCGCCACATGCTGTGGGTATGCCACATGGGTCTATACATTTGTTGTTGACGCATGCCTGGGTTGATGGGCACTCTACGTCTGAACGACAACCTATTGTGCATATCAGCTGATTACAGATTTCTCCTGAGCGACAATCATCGTCACGGCGACAAGTAGGGCGACACACAGAGCCGTCGCATTGTTCAGTGTCAAGACAGTTGGAGGTGGAGGAGCAGATGGCCATGCAGGTCCCTAAGCTGCAGACAAAGCCAGATGCACAGTCAGAATTGATACTGCAAGCAATAGGCTTCCTGGAGCATGCCACATTGGGGGTTGGGTTAGGGATGAAGCCAGTAGGGCAATAGCATTGAGCTCGATGGTTGACCACTGAACAGATAGCATTGGGTCCACACACAGCAGCTGCTCCACAAGGGTCAGTACAGCGGTTATTAAGGCAGCCCTGACTGGTCGTACAGTCCTCGTTGGCACGGCAGCCGATCATACAGATGTTGTTGAGGCAGATGTGGCCCAAAAAGCAGTCGTTGTCCAAGCGACACGTCACTACATGAAAAATAAAATACACACAGCTCAAGGACATGTCTCTAGTGTAAACATCAGTCATATTCATAATAAAAGTAACTCGAGATCTTTTCAACTAAAAAAGAACATTTTCAGCATAGTGAAAAAGTTAAAATAAATTAAATTCAGTACATTAGATTAATAACAGTGATATATGTATCTGCACATGTAGTAAGTGTGTATGCAAGAGGTGCACTACACTGGCAACACTGCCGGTATACTTACACATGCAGGAACCACGTAACACTGCCGGTATACTTACACATGCAGGAACCACGTAACACTGCCGGTATACTTACACATGCAGGAACCACGTAACACTGCCGGTATACTTACACATGCAGGAACCACGTAACACTGCCGGTATACTTACACATGCAGGAACCACGTAACACTGCCGGTATACTTACACATGCAGGAACCACGTATACACTTCTCATTCTGGGCACAAGCACCGTCCCCAGAACAGGCTGGGCTGCATACACCATTGTTACACAAGAAGCCGGATGGACAGTCGCTGTTTCTCTGGCAGGCCGCGGGGATCCTGTAGCATTCCATGTCGGCCTTTCCAGTGAAGCCTGGAGGACAGGAGCATTCGCGCCTGTGGTTGACCATGTTACAGATGGAGTTGAGACCGCAAGCCTGGTCTTGGTCACATAGGTTGCTGCACTGGCCCCGCTCGCAAGCCTCCGTCAACCCACACTCGCTGTCACTCTGACAAGGTGCTGAACACACCACCATCATACCATTAGAATGGGCATAACCATTTATAAAAAAACATATACATGAGCAATGTATCTCAATGTAAGCAAACTCACAAACACTCTAGAATGATCAACTTTACACGAGAGGTCAACTTACGCCTGCAAAGTCCACCATCACAGATGGTGCTAGGAGGACAATCAGCATTGAGTCGGCAGGAGATCTCCTGAGGTCGACAGCCCGTTACCGTGTCCATGGGGTCACCTTCGTAGCCGCTGATGCAAGCGCAGACTGTGCGATGGTTGGCAGCGCGACACTCAGAGTTGGGGCCACAGTGGGAGCCCTCACACACATCCTTACATTTGGGCACGTTGTTCTCTTCCCCACAGAAGGCCGAGGGCGGACAGTCCGAGTCGGTGAGACAGTCAACTGGGGGTTTACAACCGTCAGTGTAGGCGTCGCCCACCGTGCCAGGAGGACACAAGCACTTGTAGTTACCACGGAAGTTGTGGCAGCTGGCGCCTGCCCCACATGGGTTCTCAACACAGAAGTCAATGGGTTGACATCTCTTGAGTGGGTCACCTTGGAAACCATCACGGCAGAAGCACACAGCCTTATGGGACTCCGAGATGCACAGAGCATTCTCCCCGCATTGGTTGTTGACACGACATGCCGCTGTAAACAGGGACGCAAGGCATTACATCTCCCTCCTGCACACACACACACACACACACACACACACACACACAATATACTGCAAATGAACCTCAGCATATTAGTTACTATCACTTTCTTGCAGCTAATAATGTTGAGCTGTCCTGCAACACAGAGAACTGAACTAGAAGATGACAGCAATATACGAGCAATACGAGAGGGTGACCGAAGAACGCCCAGACTTACTCTTGCACATGTAGTTGTCACAACGTTCGTTCTGATCGCAGTCATCGTCCTCATCACACTCTATTTTCTTGCACCCACCGCGTTCATCTTGAGGATCACCAAAGTAGCCCTGGAATGACACAATGGTTAGTAGTGACCCTGGGCCCTAGGCAGGGGGCCCTCCACACTCGCACCTCTACTAGCTACACATGGATGTTGACCAGACCACACACTAGAAGTTGAAGGGACAACGACGTTTCGGTCCGTCCTGGACCATTCTCAAGTCGATTGTCATGGATCTTCGTGTGTTTCCAGCTTGTACTTGCTATAACGGTGGTTATAAATAGGAGCTGTCTCGTATGGGCCAATAGGCCTTCTGTAGTTACCTTTATTCTTATGTTCTTATATACAAGTCAATAATTCACTTGGACTATATTACTGGTATCCAAAATAGTAGGTTCCACATCTCAGTCATATCAATTTATGTGTTATTATCTACAATATGGTGGTTAGCAATGAACTCAAATTATCATCTCATAATTCTCATCATGAATGTATATACTTTTAACATAGTCTATTGCTATAGCAAGTTATCCCATCTGCATGTACATAAATATATTTCAAGAATATTAGTTTATTTTCACAGTGCCAAGAGTGGTGGTGCCAGGTGACGGATGCTTTCACCTGGGGACACTGCCCCACAAACCCTCACCTGGGGACACTTCAACACACCCTCACCTGGGGACACTTCAACACACCCTCACCTGGGGACACTGGCACACAGGCTCGTGGTTGATGGACACACACTGGGCGTTGCGACCACAGAGCGTGAGGCCGTCGCAGGCTTCCTTACACTCAGCTTGGCCTACGGTGTTGGTGCGGCATTGTTCCCTGGAGTCGCAGTCGGCGTTGCTTCGACACTTCACCTCCGGTACGCAGATGCTGTTCTGACACACCTGCAACCAACGTCGATCATTGTAAGTCTAAAGCCAAGACACAAGCAATATGAAGCTAACGACTAAATATGAGGTCCGGAGTGTACTCCTTGCACGGTGTACAATGTAGGGCCTACCTTGAGGTTACCTTGAGGTGCTTCCGGGGCTTAGCGTCCCCGCGGCCCGGTCGTCGACCAGGCCCTAGAGAACACCGCAACAAAACATGTATACGGTAGGCTGTACCATGTAATCTAATGTAATTAATAATAATAATGTAATTCAGATTACAGTTCAGATGATAATCAAAACAAGGCCTTTAGCACAATCTATTTAAAGTACATGAAACACAATGATGAATGAATGAAAACTGAACAGTTTATATAGACTAAATTAATAGTGTGATATAGGCTTTGGTTATAAGTTATAAGGTTATAGGTTATAAGAGCATGTAAGAGACTGTCCACACGAGGCAGAGACAAGCACTGCTGCCCCCTATACAACACAACAGGTAACCTCTGCACACAACTTAGTGGGTATCATCACAGGTCCTCACCACCGACTTGTGAGCCGGTCGGCCGAGCGGACAGCATGCTGGACTTGTGATCCTGTGGTCCCGGGTTCGATCCCGGGCGCCGGCGAGAAACAATGGCCAGAGTTTCTTTCACCCTATGCACCCTGTTACCTAGCAGTAAAATAGGTACCTGGGTGTTAGTCAGCTGTCACGGGTTGCTTCCTGGGGGGGGGTGGAGGCCTGGTCGAGGACCGGGCCGTGGGGACACTAAAAAGCCCTGAAATCATCTCAAGATAACCCCTTACGAAACATCTACATCTTTCCACAATAATGGTGGCTCTGTTTACCTTTATTAAACACTATGAGTTCTGAAGGTTATCTTGAGGTTATCTTGAGATGATTTCGGGGCTTTAGTGTCCCCGCGGCCCGGTCCTCGACCAGGCCTCCACCCCCAGGAAGCAGCCCGTGACAGCTGACTAACACCCAGGTACCTATTTTACTGCTAGGTAACAGGGGCATAGGGTGAAAGAAACTTTGCCCATTGTTTCTCGCCGGCGGCTGGGATCGAACCCAGGACCACAGGATCGCAAGTCCAGTGTGCTGTCCGCTCGACTGACCGGCTCCCTTTGCCGGCTGAAAGGTTGTTTTAGAACAAAACTAACCTTGGGTTGAGAAGTTTCAGAGCTCGTAAATGGTTTAATAAATGCAAACAAAGCCACCACGATTAAGGAAAGACGCACAGGACTCATAAGTGGTTGAGTAAAGGCTTGAGAAAGCGTGAGCCTGGTCCCCCAGAAGAGGCTACTAGCGACAGTGACCCACAGTTAAAATGTGACAGATAGCTGGTACTTTATGAACAAAGTCAAGGGAGATAATGTAATGTGAAACACTGCGTATAAATAGACAAGTATAATTAACACGTACTGTACTTCATATTCTTGCCTCTCTTTGTACCTACTGAAGCTTACTCTGTACTCCTTAAGCTTACTCTGTACTCCTTAAGCTTACTCTGTACTCCTTAAGCTTACTCTGTACTCCTTAAGCTTACTCTGTACTCCTTAAGCTTACTCTGTACTCCTTAAGCTACTCTGTACTCCTGTACTCCTTAAGCTTACTCTGTACTCCTTAAGCTTACTCTGTACTCCTTAAGCTTACTCTGTACTCCTTAAGCTTACTCTGTACTCCTTAAGCTTACTCTGTACTCCTTAAGCTTACTCTGTACTCCTTAAGCTTACTCTGTACTCCTTAAGCTTACTCTGTACTCCTTAAGCTTACTCTGTACTCCTTAAGCTTACTCTGTACTTCCATAAGCTTACTATGTTTGTACCTGTATAAGCGTTTCATAAAAAAATCTATTTCGAATCTAATGGTTTGTTGCTGTTTGAATTATTTTGTAAAACAAAGGTGTGAGGGAGTGAGAACAGGTGTGTATCAGGGAGAGAGAGGGAAGGAGGAGCAGAACATCTGTATACAGGTGTGTAGCAGGGAGGGAAGAGGGAGAACAGGTGTAGATAGGGGTGTGTGTAGTTGTGGGACAGCAGGTGTAGATAGGAGGGGTGCGTGTGTGGGACAGCAGGTGTAGATAGGGGGGGGTGTGCGTGTGTGGGACAGCAGGTGTAGATAGGGGTGTGTGGGACAGCGTGTGTGTGGGACAGGTGGTGTAGATATACAGGTGTAGATAGGGGGGGGGTGCGTGTGTGGGACAGCAGGTGTAGATAGGGGTGTGTGTGTGTGGGACAGCAGGTGTAGATAGGGGTGTGCGTGTGTGGGACAGCAGGTGTAGATAGGGGTGTGCGTGTGTGGGACAGCAGGTGTAGATAGGGGTGTGCGTGTGTGAGACAGCAGGTGTCGGGGGTCAACTCACCTGGAGGTCTGGACAATCAGTGGAGGCGCGGCAGGTGGGGACGCAAGAGCCCTCCAGACACACCTGTCCAGCCAAGCAACCTCTGTTACTGGTGCACGCAGCTGGGGAAAACATTCACAGTTAAAAAAAAAAAGAAGTGTACAAAAAAATTGCCCATATTTAAACTTGTTCAACATCACAATGCAGCAAAATTGGGATGATCGTGTGACTTACGGACGCAGACTCCTCCGCTGCATTGCTCCCCTGCAGGGCAGTCCGTCTCGACGGCGCAGTAGGTGATGGTTGTGCAGCCAAGGTTGGGGTCCCCGGTGAAGCCAGCTTGGCAGAAGCACTGATGGAGATGGGCTTGTGGGGTGCAGCCGGCGTTCTTGCCGCACACGCCAGCGATGGAACACGGATTGACACACCGGTTGGTTACGCAAGACATGTCCGAGGGACACTCATTGTGGCCCAGACACTCGAGGGCGGTGCAGCTGGTTAGAGGGTTGCCTGTGTAACGCGGGGGACAGAAGCACACAGCACGATGCTTCTCAGCTCTGCACTGTGCTCCAGCCCCACAGCTCCCAGGAGTCGAGCAGGGATTGTAGCAGTTGTTGTTGGCACAGGCGGCAGTATCGGGGCATGACGAGTCGTCCACACATTGACCTGGGGTGCGACAGCCGGTGGTAACTGGGTCACCCACCTGGCCTTCGGGACACACGCATGTGTAGCTGCCCAGGGCATTGCGACAAAGCGCAGACCTGTGGCAGGGTGTGTCACGACACTCATCCACGTCAACACACAAGCCAGAGGAGTCCCTGTGGAAGCCTCGCTCACAGTAACAGAAAGCGGCATGATCCACAGTCTGGCACCGACCGAACCCACAGTTGGTGTTGTCACAGGGGTCTGTGTGGGGGGGAAAAAACAAGATTACTGTAATGCACATATAGACAACATTGTGAAAATATTTGATAGTAAGCAAGCATAACATATTGTTTCATTACAACACAACAGTAAGGGAGGAAAGAAGCACTTACTGATGCACTTGTAGCTGAGCAAGTCGCAGAGTTTATTGCTGGAGCAGTCACCATTGACGAGACAGTCCCCTGGAACACACCCAACAGAGAGGTCGTTGGGGTCACCATAATGGCCGGGGTCACATTCACACAGAGGCTTGCGATCAGCCACCTTGCAGCGAGCGTTGGTTCCACACACAGCAGAGGCACAAGGCTCAACACACTTGAAGACTCCTTCTGCATCCTTCTCACATGTCTGCTCACCTTCACAATTACTGTCGCTGACACATTCGTTGGGTTTCTGGCAGCCGGGTGCTACATATGGGTCACCCACCGTGTAGGAAGGACAGATGCATTTGTAGGAACCAGGGACATTGACACAAGAGGCTGTTCCATGGCACGGTGTCTCCCGGCACTCATCCACATCTACGCACCCGTTGGGGCCGGGCAGGTAACCCTTTGCACACATGCATTTCTTTGAGATGCAGACCTCGTCCGTCCTACAGTCACCGTTGCTACGACATCCTGACACACATGACCCTTCAATGCACACCTCACCCTGCAGACAGTTGCTGTCACCAAAGCAGACCTTGTGGCACATTCCTCCGGTACAACTCTCGCCTTGTGCACACTGAGAGTTCTGCTGGCACACTGGCTTACACTTGCCTGAATCACAGATACTATTGGGGCCACACTCTGCAGTGGTGGCGCAGGAGGAAGGGACACGAATGCATCCTTGCTGTGGCGTGGGTGTTGGGTTGAAGCCCTGAGGACACTGGCACTTGGCCAAGTGGTCCTGGACTTGGCAACGGGCATTGGGGCCACAGACGTTCTCCCTGGTGCAAGGGTCTCCACACTTGTTGTTAACACAGCCTTTCTCAGCAGGGCAGTCAGTGTTGGTGCGGCAGCCCAACAGACACACGCCATTGTTGCAGGCCTGATTGATGGGACACTGTGATGAGGACACACACGGCACCAGGCACCTGTTGTTGGTACATCGCTCGCCTTGGGCACACTCTGAGTTGTCACGGCACACCGCGCGACACTGACTCTCCAGGCATACGCCACCTTGACACTGTGCGTCGTTGCTACAGAGGGTAGTGATCCGGTTACACCCCTTGTCTGGTGTTGGGTTGGGCTCGAAGCCCGGTGGACAGTTGCAGATTGGTTTCCTGTTGACGACGTTACAAAGAGTGTTGGGGCCACAGGCGCGGTCACACGGCGAGGAGCACCTACCATTGATGCAAACACTGTCCAGAGGGCAATCCTTGTTACCATTGGGACACATGCCCTCTGGGTGGCAGCCGGTGGTATAGGGGTCGCCAACCATGCCCGGTGGGCAGGAGCATTGGTGGCTCCCACCTGATGGGGAGCAGGTGGCTGAGGAGTGGCACGGGTTGGGGTCACACATATCTAGTGTTTTACACTCTATTTCAGCTGATGGGTTAGGTTGGGAGCCTGGCGGACACTTGCAGTTGTAGCGATGGTTCTCAGCAATGCAGATGGCATTGTCACCACATGCATCGTAGCAAACGTCAAAGCAAGTGTAGTCAAGCCTGTTACAAGCCTTGTCTGTGGGGCAATCTTCGTTGATGATGCAGCTGACAGAGGCGCACCCGTTGACGGGGTCGTTGGGGTCCCCTGCGAAGAGTCCCGGAGGACATTGACATTGAGCCGCATGGTTGTTGGCGATACAGACGGCTCCAGGGCCGCAGCGGGTCGTGTCACATACGGCAGCACACTTGCGGACATTGCCCTGTGCCTGGCATTTGTGGGTCTCTGGGCACTGGGCATCAGATTGGCACTCATCGCGGGGCAGTGGGCGGCACCCACTGCGGTCGTTGGGATTGCCCGTAAAGCCTGGGTCACAGCGACACTGGCCACGGTGGCTGCTGGCGAAGCAGGTGGAGTGCAAGGGGCAATTGAAGGCCCGACAAACCTCCACGCACTTCAGTACCCCAAGTTGGTCTGGGCGACAAGCCGCTGACAATCCACACTCAAGGTCGGTCTCGCAGTCTGGCACAGCTGGCTCTATTGACAGAATACACACATTAGTAGTAGGCATCCATCAGTCTCATTAGACACAAGATATGTGTGTGACAATTGTCACCACATCACTTATAAACAGCCTCCAGTCAACCACACTACCACTATCTTGTGTCACAATGCACAACACAATAACTTACATGCAAATTGAGGTGATACATTAATAATAATATTACCATGAGGCGAGTTGAATATGACCCAAACAAAGTAAACGTAGTCAAAACAAAAACTTGGCAAATCAAAACAACAGCCAACCTATAAGACAGCCTCACCAATACCACAATGAGAAGCGGCAGAACACATCGGAAGATTTAGTAACAGTTAAGAAAACTTGACAGTTTACTGTTGTTCAATTGTAGTGAACATATCTTCAGAAGACGAGAGGTGGGTTCCGTACTGATTAGTTCATGCTGTGTATCTACAGTACTGAACACTGGCAGGTGTGGAGTACTTCTAGCATACTGAACAATGGCAGGTGTGGAGTACTGGTACAGGACTGAACACTGCCAGGTGTGGAGTACTTGTACAGGACTGAACACTGCCAGGTGTGGAGTACTTGTACAGGACTGAACACTGCCAAGTATGGAGTACTTCTAGAGTACTGAACACTGGCAGGTATGGAATACTTGTACAGTACTGAACACTGCCAAGTATGGAGTACTTCTAGAGTACTGAACACTGCCAGGTGTGGAGTACTTCTAGAGTACTGAACACTGGCAGGTGTGGAGTACTTCTAGAGTACTGAACACTGCCAGGTATGGAGTACTTCTAGAGTACTGAACACTGGCAGGTATGGAGTACTTGTACAGTACTGAACACTGGCAGGTGTGGAGTACTTGTACAGGACTGAACACTGGCAGGTGTGGAGTACTTGTACAGTACTGAACACTGCCAGGTGTGGAGTACTTCTAGACTACTGAACACTGCCAGGTGTGGAGTACTTGTACAGTACTGAACACTGGCAGGTGTGGAGTACTTGTACAGTACTGAACACTGGCAGGTGTGGAGTACTTCTAGAGTACTGAACACTGGCAGGTGTGGAGTACTTCTAGAGTACTGAACACTGGCAGGTGTGGAGTACTTGTACAGTACTGAACACTGGCAGGTGTGGAGTACTTGTACAGGACTGAACACTGGCAGGTATGGAGTACTTGTACAGGACTGAACACTGGCAGGTATGGAGTACTTGTACAGTACTGAACACTGGCAGGTATGGAGTACTTCTAGAGTACTGAACACTGGCAGGTATGGAGTACTTGTACAGGACTGAACACTGGCAGGTGTGGAGTACTTGTACAGTACTGAACACTGGCAGGTGTGGAGTACTTCTAGAGTACTGAACACTGGCAGGTATGGAGTACTTCTAGAGTACTGAACACTGGCAGGTGTGGAGTACTTGTACAGTACTGAACACTGGCAGGTGTGGAGTACTTCTAGAGTACTGAACACTGGCAGGTGTGGAGTACTGCTACAAAATGAACACTTATGTTAATACAACAGTGAAGACTCAGAGGAAGAAGTGGTATAGTTACTGCAGTAAGCACCATTAGGAGAGACAGGTGGCTATAGTTTCTGCCATCAAACACAGGTTAAGGAACATGTCTGGAACACTTACTCTGACAGCGGTTGGTGGAGGGGTTGCGGAGGTAGCCATCTTGACAGCGACACAGGGGCCGTCCATTCTGCACGTAACACAACTCGTTCTGGCCGCAGGTGTGTGAAAGGCAGGGGTCAACACACCCACGTAGGCCTTGCAGGTCCACCTGACACACCTGCCCATCGCTGCAGTCGTCGTCCTCCGTACAGTGGCTCTCGCGGTCAATTGACTGGCACCCAGACACCGGGTCGCTGGGGTTGCCAGCGTAGTTCTCCTTACAGAGGCAGGAGGACCGGTGGGCTTGCGCCACACAGATAGCATTGGGTCCACACTCTACTTTGTTGCAGGCACCTACACATGTGCGACGCCTGTTGAGGGAGAAGCATATCTCGTCGTCGTCACAGTCCAGGTCATTACGGCACCCAGATAGTTGACAGCCTACAGTGAGGTCGTCAGGATCGCCAGTGAAGCCGACGAGACAGGCACACTTATCCTGATCACAGGCAGCATTGGGACCACATGTGATTCCGACGCAAGGAACACCTTCACAGCCCTCTGGGGTGTCTTGGCAGGGTTCCGTGGATGGAGTATGATCACGTGGCATGCACATTTGGAAGGGGTTGCCGAAAAAGCCTTCCTGACAACGGCAGTCGAAGCTGCCCTCCGTGTTGAGGCAGACAGCGTTCATGCCACAAGCATTACCGATACACTCGTCGACATCGGCACACTCCACATAAGGGTTACCCTGGAAGCCAACGGGGCATACACAGTCGACGCGATTGACACCCTGCCTACACTCAGCAAGTTTGCCACACTTTGTAGTTGAGCAGTCGACCTTCTGTTCCTCGGACTCACAAGACTCATATGGATTGCCACTGTAGCCGGTGTTACAGATGCACCTGTTGGGCTGTCCGTACTCACAGTGGGCATAGGTGCCACAGCCAGGAGTACACAGTGGTGGCGTCACAGCTGCAAAATACACACACAATCATACATGGGCCAAAGTGTTTTCTATAGTAAAAATGTAATCAGTGTAACTTTGGTTAATATTATATATGAGCATTAACAAAATAATGGATTGCTGATGTACTTACGTGGGACACAGAGGAGATCTGGGTCGCCCAGGAAGAAAGGCAGACACACACACTTGTTAGTGTTCTTGTCGCACTTGGCGCCGACACCGCAAACAACGCCCTCACAGCGCTCCTTGCACCTGCCATTAACACACAGCTGTGGGTCCTGGCACGGAGAAGCGGGCGAGCACTGGTCGGTGAGACACCCACCACCAGGGAACGGGTTGCCGTTGTAGCCAGTTTCACACTTACAAGTGGGGCCGTCACGTGCCACAATACACTGGGAGTTGGGGCCGCAGAGGAAACCTTCACACATGGACACACAATCACCGTTGGGCCCTTCAGCATAGCCTGGATGACAGCGGCACCAAGCAGCATGCTCCTCAGCCTCACAGTAAGCGTTGGCACCACAGGGAAGAGCATCGCAAGGGTTCACACAAGCACCAGTGTCTGTGCACGCAAGGTCTCCTGGGCAATCACTGTCGCTCACACAGTCCGTTGTCTGAGTTCCAGTACAGGAGCCCACGAATGGGTCACCGACGGTTCCTGGAGGACATTCACATTTGTAGGTACCAATTTCATTCATGCAGATTGCGCTGTGGCCACAGGGGTTCTCGCGGCACTCGTCGATGTCAATACAGCCAGCAGGTCCTCCATCGAGGAAACCTGGCAGACACAGACACTGGGGCGGATCTGAAGGTGTGCACTTGCTGTTGATGCCACAAGAGAAGGCCTCGCAGGGACTTTTGCACTTGTTTTCATCATGGTTGTCAACAAAGTAAGGTGGAGGACAGACACACTTGCCTGGCTGGACACATCTCTCGTTAATGCTACACTCTGCATCACTGGAACACTGGAGCACAGCCACAGAACATCCGGCAGTGTAGGGATCACCGGAAGAGCCAGGAGCGCAGCGACATTCATAACTACCCTTCTGATTGTAGCACTCGGCTCCCAGGCCACAGGGAGGGCGACCGTCGGGCCGACGCGTCGCACACTCATCCACATCATGGCAGGAACCGTCGGGCAGGGTGGTGTAGCCAGCGGGGCATGCGCAGTAGCTCAGTCCTCCCTGGATGGTGACACACTCGGCCCCAGCAGGACACGGGTTGCCCAGGGAGCAGTTGGCCAACACACAGCTACCTTGCACGATGCGGTATGGAGGCAAGCATGTGCACTCCAGTGTGCTGCACTCTGTCAAAACAAAATGTCATTACAATTCCTTACTACTGCATTAAATGGGAAATATTTAACAATATACATAGAAATTCATAACAAATATAGGCATTGGCAACATGTGCCCATGACCTACAATACTTACTTTCACAGTTACTGAATGGGTTGCCGACAAAGCCCGGGGGACACTGGCAGTCATAGGATCCTGGTAGGTTCTTACAGTTCGCATTGAGGCCACAGATGGGAGTGTTAAGGTGGTTCTCGATACACTCGTTGACGTCGCGGCATCGTCCATTGTCATTGTCCCTAATGTAGCCACGGCGACATACGCATACATTTTCCTTGGAAGCCTCGTCAGTGACGCACTGTTCTCCAGATGGGCAAGGCTGTGTGGGGCCACATCCAGGGGACTTGACCTCCACACATCCCTCTCTGGCTGGGTCACCCTTGAACCCTGTCGGACACTCACACGTAAACTTTCCTGGCTCGTTGCGGCAGATGGCGCCATCACCACAGGGGTTATTGACACACTCATCGATATCTGTACATCCAAATACACCAATGGGGTTTCCAGAGTACCCCTGGTCGCACATACACTTGGGTTGACCATTGATCAGTTTACACCCGGCGTTGGGTCCACAGCGCACGTCCTCACACGGATCTGGGGGCAGACAAAGATGTTAAGTTCACAAAGAGTTTGTTTCCTTTCAACTCTCCAGAATTTTCCCCCCGTCAATTATGTCTCGCACAACAGTCTAACATTGACCATCAGACTTAAATATCACTCACAAATGTCTAGTAGTTACTACCCAACCATAGCACATCCCAGCCCACTCGCAGGAGGCTGCTGGGGATACCAAAGATACTCACGTCTACAATCGTCGCCAATATTGGGCTCCGGACACATGCACTGGCTGACGAGGCAGAGCGCGTTGCCGGGGCAGTCATCGTCTTGGGCACACTTCATTATATCCAGACACTGGGTGAAGGGGTCCGGGTCGGCCACTGTGTTGGGTGGGCAGGAGCATGTGTACGACCCCACAGTGTTGGTACACACGGCGCCCACACCACACGATCCTGCACGGCTACACTCATCCACATCTGCAGTGCCAACCAAACATTACTTACTCACAGGTCCCAGTCGGGTAGATAAATATATATATACATTATATATAGAGATTATCCACTAGGGCTTTGAGGTGACACGAACCTTCCACCACAGCGTTGAAAGCTGCATACTCTACCACTAGACCTAACTTAGTCTAGTGGTCGGTTCAACAGGTTGTCAACAGGTTCGCGTCCACCTCACAGCCCTAATGGATGTTCTCAATGATATACATCACTTTAGTGTGATTTATGTGTGTGTGCCAACATAAGGACGTGGTACAACATGCACAAAAATGATGAAAAGGCACAGTTAATAAGACCGCAATGACCAGTCAGGCAGTCACGGTGACTGAGTAAGAGACCAGTGGCCAGATTCACGAAAGCACTTACGCAAGCACTTACGAACCTGTACATCTTTTCTCAATCTTTGGCGGCTTTGTTTCCACTTATTAAACAGTTAATGAGCTCCGAAACGCCAGGAAGATGTTTATTTCAATAACAACAGTTGAATGGGAAGTTTTCATGCTTGTAAACTGTTTAATAAATGTAACCAAAGCCGTCAAAGATTGAGGAAAGATGTACATGTTCGTAAGTACTTGCGTAAGTGCTTTCGTGAATCTGGCCCCAGGTGAAGAGGAGTCAGCAGCACTGGGGCCAGATTCACGAAGCAGTTACGCGAGTACTTACGAACGTGTACATCTTTCCTCAATCTTTGATCACTTTGGTTACATTTATTAAACAGTTTACAAGTATGAAAACCTCCCAATCAACTGTTATTGTTATAAACAGCCTCCTGGTGCTTTGGAGTTCATTAACTGTATAATAATTGTAAATAAAGCCGCCAAAGATTGAGAAAAGATGTACAGGTTCGTTAGTCCTTGCGTACCTGCTTCGTGAATCTGGCCCGAGTCCTGACGGGGTCCTTGTCAAGTCTCTGTAACTCCCGGACGCCAAGAAGGGAAAAGGTGACAATACAGAATATACATGAAATCTGAAATCAAACAGGAAGCTTAGCAGTAGAGTCCAGCAGGAGAGTGAAAGTTCCTCTTCTAAGCTGTCCGAGGAGGGGCGGACGACTCAAACAGAAAACGGAACAGTACGTCACTTTTGTGAGTCGATTTCATTTCAAATTACGTCCAAATTTGGCCATAGTGCGCATACGAGCCAAAAGTGACGTTATTTTTAAGAGCATGAGTTGAGGAGAGATTCATACCCACTGTGGCAATGTACCCACTGTGGCAATGGTACTAACCGCATTCGAGGAGAGGGTTCCCGCTGAGAGGTTTGGGGCAGGAGCAGGTGTAGTTGCCTCTGGTGTTGGTACACTTGGCATTCTTGCCACAGGGGAACGGCTGCCCCAGACACTCGTTGACATCTGCTCACACCCCCACAACACACACACACACACCACAGAAAACGGCATACGGTTAGTCAGCTGGCGAGTGATGCTCCATGCAAGTTAATACATTTTAGTTGGGTTAATATTGTATAATTATGGTTATTTGGGGGCTAACTATGGTTAATGCTAATTAATAATAATATAGAATGCTTCATGCTCTTTATGGTGGGAGTTATTAGTTAAATCTACTGAATACTGCTCAATGGTACTCTAAGCTCAGGTCACTGGTCATGCATTAACTGGTAAATGTATCAAATATGAGTGGCCTGGCCATACTGCCATGTGTCCAAGCTGGCCATACTGCCATGTGTCCAAGCTGGCCAATACTGCCATGTGTCCAAGCTGGCCCATACTGCCATGTGTCCAAGCTGGCCAATACTGCCATGTGTCCAAGCTGGCCCATACTGCCATGTGTCCAAGCTGGCCAATACTGCCATGTGTCCAAGCTGGCCCATACTGCCATGTGTCCAAGCTGGCCATACTGCCATGTGTCCAAACTGGCCAATACTGCCATGTGTCCAAGCTGGCCCATACTGCCATGTGTCCAAGCTGGCCCATACTGCCATGTGTCCAAGCTGGCCCATACTGCCATGTGTCCAAGCTGGCCCATACTGCCATGTGTCCAAACTGGCCAATACTGCCATGTGTCCAAGCTGGCCCATACTGCCATGTGTCCAAGCTGGCCCATACTGCCATGTGTCCAAGCTGGCCCATACTGTCATGACAACTCCACCACTCCAATACTCAGCAATAATCACGTTCAGTCAACTTCACAAACCAATTTTAGTTTTAAAAGGTGTTTATGAACAATGATTTCGTGTGAGTGAGCGTTGAGGAGGTCCATGCGAGGCCCCTGTGGCCACCAGGTCACGTGGCCCACTCGGACGCCAGGCACCGGGCATGACCAGGCAGGTCTGCCCTTGGTGACACAGGCGTCCGCTCACACCACCACCAATGTGACGCACTGGGGCAGGTTAGTAGGGCGGGTAGCATAGTGTTGTCCTGTGGGTGGTTACTGTGTGTGTGGGGGGGTTATGATGGGTATTGTGTGTGTGTGGGGGGGGGGAAGGTTGTGGTAGTTAAAGTGGGGTTGTTACAGACACAATAAGCAGTTATCAGCAAAGCTCAGCATGCGTTGGTTGTTGCAACTCATCCTCTTAAAAATAACGTCACTTTTGGCTCGTATGCGCACTATGGCCAAATTTGGACGTAATTTGAAATGAAATCGACTCACAAAAGTGACGTATTATTCCGTTTTCTGTTTGAGTCGTCCCACCTACTCGGCAAGCTTAGAAGAGGCAACTTTCCATTAACGTTTTTCATAACGTTTTGAAAGTTTATGAGAATTTCCTGCCCACCAAATCTATCAGAGGACCCTTAACTTACTGTTGTTGAAAAAAAAAATCCCAAATCTATTTTCATTTTCAAATTACGTCCATATTCGGCCATACGGGCAAACGGCCAAAAGCGACGTTCTTTTTAAGAGGACAGGTTGGTACCTGTTAACACTTCATTTTGACTTACCTGATGCGGTTTGCCAACATTGCCAAAACGAATGAACCTCATCTTTAGTGTGTGACTGAGGAAGGGGGGAGGAAGAGGAGGGGGATCCGTGGGGGCCTTACCGAAGAGGAGGGGGAGGCGTGGGGGCTTTACCGAAGAGGAGGAGGAAGAGTGGGGTCCTTACCTAGACACTTGGTGTTGGGGTTGCCAGAGAACCCTGCTGGACACTGGCAGGTGAAGGACCCGAGGGTGTTGGTACAGAGAGCATTGTCTCCACACTGGCCTGATGGTCGATGGCCCGCCGAGCACTCGTCCACGTCTGAAACAACACAAGACAACGTTATTGTCTGTAGCAGTACAGCTGTGCCAGGAGCGCCAGTGGCGGGAAGGTGAGCTATAGTTCACACACACACAAGTGCATACCAGCTAACATGATGCCGCTACCACATCTAGACAAATGAAATGCATTAGGCAGTGATGTGGTGGAGGCTGACTCCATACACAGTTTCAAGTGTAGATATGATAGAGCCCAATAGGCTCAGGAACCTGTACAGCTGTTGATTGACGGTTGAGAGGCGGGACTAAAGAGCTAAAGCTCAACCCCGGCAAACACAACTAGGTGAGTACACAATATATATATTAACACAAAGTTACTAAATTACATGACAAAAACCGTGTGATGCTTAAAAAAAGGCACATGAGGTGTGGGAAGGGTGAGGGAGACTCACCAACACAGCCGGCAGCGATGTTGGCGGGGTCGTAGGTCCAGCCTGGGTTACACATGCAGCTGGCCTCCACACCGTCAGCCTTGCAGAAGGCGTTGGCGCCACACTCGACACCCTCACACGGAGCTGTGGAAGGTAACATGGTGGAGGTGAGGCGAAGGTCCTGGGGCGAGTGGGGACAGTCACACCGCATGATCCACCACTTGACCTATTCTGGCGGCTGCTACTTACTATGACAGACACTAACGTAGCATTATTCTAGTAGTTAGTATGACAAACTACTAATAAAGGTAGAACTGCAGCTTTCAAGGAATGGATTAGTGTAAAACAAGAAGTTAGTATTGTAACAGATACTTATATAGTTGGTATAAGATGCAGTTGTTAAGACAATTAGAACATCTAGTTACTAACAAACCAATAACTATTATATATGCATCCTGATAAGAAAGTGCTTAATATAGCACAAACACCTGAAGCCAAGAGTGCCAACATGTGCAGATAAACTATGTGCAAAACACCAAAGGTGATGAAGGGGCCCAGAGAAGCATGCCAGGAAGTGGACCAGGCGAGGCCGTGGCCCGCCTCTCACCTCCTGCTCAACTGCTACTTCACACTACCTAACAGAGTACTACACACTACAGGTGTCCTCGTGCAGTAGTTACACCTGCGCAAGCAAACATTGCGTTAATGAGAAGAGCTGATGTAACGCTAGAGTTGTGCCAGGTAAGTCACAGGCGAGACGATCAGTGCATGATAGTATATACCCATATGAAGAAGTACGTGGAAGGTGGTGGTGGGGAGAGTGAGCAGGCACTCACCCGGTGGTGGGGAGAGTGAGCAGGCACTCACCCGGTGCCAGGTGCCGTCGCCTGGCACCCATCACGTGCTGCCACATTTAATAAACGTGCCAGAATGGCTTAAATACCGGGGTGTTGTTAGGGACACCCCGAGAGGTGGTCCGGAGACGAAGAGCAAGATAAGGGTGCGGAGTGAGAGGTGGAACAAGTGCTCCAAAGGGAGGTGGTGAACACGGTGAAGTTACGGTGATGTAACAATACTGTTGTGTGTGTTGGGGGGACGTACGGGAGCAGTGGAGGCGAGCGTCCCCCAGCAGGGGGTAGGGGCACGCGCAGTGGAAGGACCCCAACGTGTTGACACACTTGGCACTCTCCCCACACGGGAACACCGAGGCCTGGCACTCGTCCACGTCTGTTCCGGGCACTCTTAAGAGTCACTTTCAGGGCCCAAGGGGGGATTAAATACTCAAGGGCTTAAGGATTTAAGGACTTCAATGGTCTAAAGGGTTATAGGGCGAAAGGTCTAGAATTCAGGAGGCAAGAGGCCACTGATGAAGGATCAGAGATACAAGACTCAATGGATGTAGGATTGAGAGGTAACGGATGAGGGATTGACGTGAGGATAGAGGGATAAGGAGACATGAGGTACTGGGGACGGGATACGGGTGGTGTTCTGGTAGTAGGGACCGCCACTTGAGAGTCACAACATCACTCTAAGCACTTGTGAAGTGTTAGTAATAAGCATCATGCTAGTACTCGTGCATCATACTCGGGGCCCTCAAGTATACCTCTCTAACACAAGCTGCCTAACTCTCACACTAAAGAAATGACTCATGGTACAAGTTATGTAGATTATAACTATCTGTATATAAGCTGTACTCTACTGTATGTTACATATATTTGATCAGAAAGCATTACCAGGTAGCTCCGTGTGACCTACCTGGTCACAGGTGTGTGAGTTACCTGGCCACAGGTGTGAGCTACCTAGTCACAGGTGTGACCTACCTAGTCACAGGTGTGTCAGCTACCTGGCCACAGGTGTGAGCTACCTGGCCACAGGTGTGAGCTACCTGGTCACAGGTGTGAGCTACCTGGTCACAGATCACACTAACCTTTACAAACAGTCTCGGGCGGGTTGCCCACGAAGCCGAAGTTACAAGTACACTGGTAGCCGCCGGGAACATTCTGGCACTGGGCGTTGGTGCCACAGGGGGAGAGCTGGCACTCGTCCACGTCCCGGCACTCGGCACCCACAGCCTGGAAGCCATCGCGGCAGAAGCACTGACCCTCTATGCACTCAGCGTTATTCACACAGTCGAAGTTGGTCCCACACAAGATGTTTACGTCCGCCTGGAATGAATACAGGAATGAATAAAGAGATGTGAATTGGGGAATGGGCCGCTTCACGTCATGCCAGACACAACAGTCGGAAGAAAATACAACACAATCAATCTTGACCAGTGCTTCCTGACCTTGACTTCCACGGTGACCTTTACACTCCACACACTTGAAGAAGGACCTCAGGATGCTACAGGGGAAACTCACCTGCTCACAGGCGACGTGGGGCGTGGGGCTGGGACTGAACCCTTGGGGACACAAGCAGGTGAAGCCAGGCTGTGCGTTCTGGCAGACGGCATTGATGCCACAAGGGCGGTTGTAGGCGGAACACTCGTCGATATCTGCAACAGTGGTCATGAGTCAATACCCACACTTTGAGTGCAACACTCTGGCCCGTGTTTATATGTGTGTGTGTGTGTGTAGGTGTAGGTGTGTGTGTGTGTGTGTGGGTGGGTGTAGGTGTGTGTGTGTGTGGGTGTAGGTGTGTGTGTGTGTGGGTGTAGGAGTGTGTGTGTGTGGGTGGGTGGGTGGGTGGGTGGATGGGTGTAGGAGTGCGTGAGTGTGTGTGTGTGAGTGTGTGTGTGTGTGTACTCACCTAATTGTGCTTGCGGGGGTTGAGCTCTGGCTCTTTGTGTGTGTGTGTGTGTGTGTGTGTGTGTGTGTGTGTGTGTGTGTGTGTGTGTGTGTGTGTGTAGGTGTGTGTGTGTGTGGGGGTGTAGGAGTGTGTGTGGGTGGGTGGGTGGATGGGTGTAGGAGTGTGTGTGTGTGTGTGTGTGTGTGTGTGTGTGTGTGTGTGTGTGTGTGTGTGTGTGTGTGTGTGTGTGTGTGTGTGTGTGTGTGTGTGTGGATGGGTGGAGTGCATGAGTGGGTGTGTGTGGGTGGATGGATGGGTGGAGTGCATGAGTGGGTGGAGGTGGGTACTAGAGTACTGGGTATGGACTTACCCACACAGCCTGTGTAGGGGTCTCCCGTATAGTCCTGTAGACACTGACAGGAGTAGCTGCCCACACTGTCTAGGCAGAGGGCGTTGGCACCGCATGGCTCCGTCAGGCACTCGTCCACATCTGTGCCACAGGCAGGAGGCAAAAAGAAACGAGGCATTAGATTCATGGCACTCTGGCACTCACTGTGTACAGCAACACTATGTAACCCCCCTACAATACTGGCACTGTATGTGGCACTGTGCCTCCACTTTACCTGCACATCTCTTTAGACTAATTTAGAGCCCATTAACAGGAGAAAAACGCTACCTCGGTGGCACTCTGACACTAATCTGAGGCACTCTGACGCAACATTGGCACACTTCCACTGAAGTCATCTTCTAGCCTTGCTTTATGTCTTATTGAGATTGATTCATTAAAGTTTAAAACAAATCAAATCAAGATTAGTGACCAAATAACACTCGGCATGAATGAGGCGACGAGCAAGTAAAGCCCAGTGTCTTGCTAGCCTTAAAATCCCTCTCAGGACCAATCTCAGCGCTGTGTTATAACTGTTGCTGCTCTGAGAACAATCTCAGCCCTCGTCACGCGACGTCTGGTGAGACGTCACAGACGCTGGAGACGTCGTCCACCACCACCACCACGGGACGCAGTAGTAACCATCCCGTTACAGTAATCTAAACTTGGGTGAAGCTCAAACCTGACCACATACACTAATATATTTGGACTCTAGATGTAGTTAATGGTAAGTGTTAATACTATTGCAAGAATGTTAATCTATGATCAGCGTTACCGTTAACAGGAGCGTGTTAATAGCCCACACTGCCTATCTCTACTCCTGTTAACTTACCCATAGACACCACAACAGTGCTGAGAACCCAAGTTATAACAGATCTACAACATTAATAGGATATTAACCTGAAGCCGTTATCAAGCCAGTTATAACCTTATGTTAAAAAATTAAGTAATACCACGGACTTAGCCATTTGCTCTCTACAAAAAAAAAGGTACAACCTAGTTACTTGGCACTGTGCCACCCCAGAGCCACAAGGCACCTTGGGCTGACTGTGACCACTGGCATTGTAGAACAATAATTGGGTAGTGAGAGTTGTCAAGGTCAGGTAGGGAGATGGATCACATGGACAGATGCTAGGCAAGAAGTATGTGTGTGTGTGTGTGTGTGTGTGTGTGTGTGTGTGTGTGTGTGTGTGTGTGTGTGTGTGTGTGTGTGTGTGTGTGTGTGTGTGTGTGTGTGTGTGTGTGTGTGTGTGTGTGTGTGTGTGTGTGTGTGTGTGTGTGTGTGTGTGTGTGTGTGTGTGTGTGTGTGTGTGTATTCGTCTGTATATTACAAAGAAACTACGAAAGCTTCAGTCCACAGTCATTACGTCAAAGTGCTGGAGCATTAACGGGACACACCAGCACACAGGAGACAAGAGAACACACAAGGTGCACAAAGCTCTAGGTATCAGACTAACCCACAAGAATGTTCCTGACTCCCAAAGGAGCTCCTTGAGGCCACTCCAGTAAGCAGCTTCAACAGGAAATACCACGAGGAAACAGGAGAGGTTGACAGTCGTCGCAGTAACTACCTAGGAGGTGTAGATGCTGGGCTTAGGGCGCCCAGCCCCAGAGAGAAGTAAAGGCCTACAGAGACACAGTCAGGTCACAAGCATTCCTCTCAGGGAAACACAGGCTTGAGTGTAAGGAGAGTGTGACCTGTGGTGCTCAACGTGACCTCAGTGTTGTGGCTAGTGAGAACGCTGGTATTCCCAAGGGATACTACACCTTCACCATTACATTATGAGTAATTATTGTAGGAATGTTGACCCATACACCTGTTGTGTTATGGTCTACCTGTATTATTAACCTGGGGGGCGCTGCCTTTTATATGTTCCCTCGTGAATAAATGAGTCTAAAAGTCTCATGTGGAATATGGAATTTAACATGTCATATATGTAGCGTCAAGTCAGATATTTCTAGTTGATCGATCAATCTGATAATTAATCTGGGTAGTGAATATGAATTATGTTAACCTGGAACGTTAGCCAGACATAAGTTAGACACTTTGCAAAATAAATTAGATAAAATGTTGATGAGCGGAACTGTGGGGGGGGGGGGGGGGGGGCGGTGAGAGAGGGCCGGGGGGAGGGAGAGGCAGCAGCCCAACCCGTTCTCGCACTTGCTTTTAGTCAATATTGGCTTATTTAATAAGTGCATATGTGACATACTAATTGATTGTGGATATTTTAGTTTACCTTGAAAAGCTTCATAGAAAACACCGACCTCACCTAACCTTCTTAGTATGTTAAGATAAGCGTCTCATTGCTTCTTATTTACAATTATTACTTAACCTATCAACGGTATAGGTTAAGTAATAATTGTAATTACGAAGCAATAAGATGCTTATCTTAACATACTAAGAAGGTTAGGTAAGGTCAGTGTTTTCTATGAAGCTTTTCAATGTAAACTAAAATATTCACAATCAACTAGTATGTCACATATGCACTTATTAAATAAGCCAATATTGACTGTGAGCAAGTGCGAGAACGGGTTGCGCGAGCCGCACACACGACTCTCACACCCCACAACACAGGCAGGGGCGCACACTAGAGTGTGTCAGCACATCTACGACACCTGTACAGTGGTGGGCGGGGCGGGGCGGGGCGGGGCGGGGCGGGGCGGGGCGGGGCGGGGCGGGGCGGGGCGGGGCGGGGCAGCGTGAGCTGTTGTTGGCGGAAAATTTTCAACTCAAGTCGAAGTCAAACACACTAAATATGACAGCGAAGAAAGAAGTGTTCGTTTTTGTCCTCCAGGGACGGTGAAGGAAGGGTTGTCCGGGACAGGTCCTCCAGGGACGGTGAAGGAAGGGTTGTCCGGGACAGGTCCTCCAGGGACGGTGAAGGAATGGTAGTCCGGGACAGGTCCTCCAGGGACGGTGAAGGAATGGTAGTCCGGGACAGGTCCTCCAGGGACGGTGAAGGAATGGTAGTCCGGGACAGGTCCTCCAGGGACGGTGAAGGAAGGGTTGTCCGGGACAGGTCCTCCAGGGACGGTGAAGGAATGGTAGTCCGGGACAGGTCCTCCAGGGACGGTGAAGGAAGGGTTGTCCGGGACAGGTCCTCCAGGGACGGTGAAGGAAGGGTTGTCCGGGACAGGTCCTCCAGGGACGGTGAAGGAATGGTAGTCCGGGACAGGTCCTCCAGGGACGGTGAAGGAAGGGTTGTCCGGGACAGGTCCTCCAGGGACGGTGAAGGAAGGGTTGTCCGGGACAGGTCCTCCAGGGACGGTGAAGGAATGGTAGTCCGGGACAGGTCCTCCAGGGACGGTGAAGGAAGGGTTGTCCGGGACAGGTCCTCCAGGGACGGTGAAGGAATGGTAGTCCGGGACAGGTCCTCCAGGGACGGTGAAGGAAGGTCCTCCAGGGACGGTAGTCCGGGACAGGTCCTCCAGGGACGGTGAAGGAAGGTCCTCCAGGGACGGTGAAGGAATGGTAGTCCGGGACAGGTCCTCCAGGGACGGTGAAGGAAGGGTTGTCCGGGACAGGTCCTCCAGGGACGGTGAAGGAATGGTAGTCCGGGACAGGTCCTCCAGGGACGGTGAAGGAATGGTAGTCCGGGACAGGTCCTCCAGGGACGGTGAAGGAATGGTAGGGTTGTCCGGGACAGGTCCTCCAGGGACAGGGGTCCGGGACAGGTCCTCCAGGGACGGTGAAGGAATGGTAGTCCGGGACAGGTCCTCCAGGGACGGTGAAGGAAGGGTTGTCCGGGACAGGTCCTCCAGGGACGGTGAAGGAATGGTAGTCCGGGACAGGTCCTCCAGGGACGGTGAAGGAAGGGTTGTCCGGGACAGGTCCTCCAGGGACGGTGAAGGAATGGTAGTCCGGGACAGGTCCTCCAGGGACGGTGAAGGAATGGTAGTCCGGGACAGGTCCTCCAGGGACGGTGAAGGGAAGGTAGTCCGGGACAGGTCCTCCAGGGACGGTGAAGGAAGGGTTGTCCGGGACAGGTCCTCCAGGGACGGTGAAGGAAAGGTAGTCCGGGACAGGTCCTCCAGGGACGGTGAAGGAATGGTAGTCCGGGACAGGTCCTCCAGGGACGGTGAAGGAAGGGTTGTCCGGGACAGGTCCTCCAGGGACGGTGAAGGAAGGGTTGTCCGGGACAGGTCCTCCAGGGACGGTGAAGGAAGGGTTGTCCGGGACAGGTCCTCCAGGGACGGTGAAGGAAGGGTTGTCCGGGACAGGTCCTCCAGGGACGGTGAAGGAAGGGTTGTCCGGGACAGGTCCTCCAGGGACGGTGAAGGAATGGTAGTCCGGGACAGGTCCTCCAGGGACGGTGAAGGAAGGGTTGTCCGGGACAGGTCCTCCAGGGACGGTGAAGGAATGGTAGTCCGGGACAGGTCCTCCAGGGACGGTGAAGGAAGGGTTGTCCGGGACAGGTCCTCCAGGGACGGTGAAGAATGAGACGGGCGGTGTACTAACTGCTGCAGGAGATCTTCCCGTCTCCGGTGAAGCCGCTGGGACAGAAGCACTTGTAGGAGCCGGGAATGTTGAGGCACTTGGCATGTGAGGCGCAGGTGGTGGCGTGACCGCACTCATTGATGTCCGTGCACTCGTCCAGGGGGTCCCCTGTGAACCCCTGGGGGCACCGGCACTCATACGACCCCTGGGTGTTCATGCAGGTCGCCGACGACCCGCAGGGGAAGGTCCAATTGGAGTCCTGCAGGAGGCCAGGCAGCAGGGTGGCCATCATGGCGTCCACGGCCGTCACTTCCAGGATGTGTGAGGTGGTGGACTCTAGCTCCTGGTCCTGGCCCTCGCTCTCGGAGGCTGGGTCCACACACTCGTTTATATCTTGTTAGTAAAGCAGCGTAAGATTAGTCTCCACCTGGCCACACCTGGCCTTCCCTCACTGCTTCATTAACAAGGGTTATCTCACACACCTGACACTAGTAAGATTAGTCAATCCCTAGGCACTACATCATTAACTAGGGTTATCTCACACACCTGACACTAGTAAGCATTAGTGATTAATACAATGGGAGCATAGATATATGACCCCAGGTGACCCCAGACACCCGCCATGTGGAATGTTTAGGTCTCGCTACACCCGTCCCTCACCAACACAGTCACTAACCACACAGGGTGAGGGAGAGACCATGGAATGCTCCGCC